AAGCTTTAATTTTGACAATAGAACAACAATCTATCTTAGAACATGGCAGATTATTTATAAAAAATTAAACTAGTCCCTCCCCACAATAAAGCATAAATATAAATATTATTCTATACCTTCCTGGTAATACTCTTAGTGCTCTCTCATATATTAGGTTGACTGCTGATGAGTGGGCGTGGTCACTCTTAATCTGCTTGTGTTCAATGTACTTTATCCAGCACTTTACACTGTAAGGATGACGTAGTATTTCTTCTTCAAAAGGAATGTCAGCATCTTCCTATTGTTACTGTTAGTAAGGATCAGTTCTTGGTAGCTTACAAAGGATATGTCTTTCTTTTCTCTGGTTGACTTTTCTGACCCACTTTCCTCCATGTTGTATCCGTAATCTATTATGCATCTTTCCGTATTGATTGGTTACGCTGGGTTTTCTACGCATGCGCAGTTTCGAATCCAAATCGGAGGGAAATTGCCAAATTGGGAAAATGATGAACCAAAGTAATGGGAATAAAGAGAGAGCAGAGCACAAAAGTGAGTAGGGATAAAACAAAAGAAAATGAAAAAAAAATCTAAATCTAAATTCTGAAATTCAAAGTAAAATTTTTAAAAAAATGAAAAAAAAAACTGAATTAAAACTGAATTATGAAACTGAAAAAACTGAATTATAAATCTAAAATAATAACAAACTACGGGCTAGTACAGGGTAAACTACAAAAATGAATTTTTCAATTCTTCAGCAACTATACTAAGATTAGAATTATTAACACGCAAAAAAGCTTCAATAACATTAGACAAATATTCTTGCTTGTTGATACAGGACTTTAGTTGTAATTCAATATCATAAAGAAGTCTCGTCGCCTTGTCATGATCTGATGCTCCTTTGGCTGTTATGACAAAAGAACGAGTTTCATGCCCAATCAGTTGACATGAATTACACTCATTGCAAACTTTCACTACATCAGAACTGATAATATCACATAATTTAGCAAAATGTGACTGGAAAACATCTGTTGGATCAACTGGTGGATTTTTTTGCTAAATAATAAATAATAATTATTAGTAATAAATAAAATACTCAGGTATTTACAATGTGTGTGCCTGTTGGCGGCTTGTTAAATATTAAATTTTACCTGATTGGTGTCTTTAAACCAAACTTTCTCTTGTTCAGTAGGACGTCTGTAGCCTGCAGCTGTATTGTTCTCGCAAC